GGGTCTTTTCCAAAGACTCCTCTCTTTGCATTAGGTGACCAAAGTATCTGAGCTTGAGCTTGAGCTTCATTATCAGTCCTTCCAATGGCGGTCTTTAGTGGTAATTAATTTCACAATTATCCAGCATGCATCAGCAATAATGTCTTTTATTCCTTGACCTTTTCTAAAACTAGCTTGAACATCTGGCATTTCCCTTTTCATGTATGGCTCTAATCTGGGTTGGATGATCCTAAGCATTATTTTGCTAGCATGTAAAATAAGGGTATTGTACAATAGTTTGCACACTCTGTTAAGTCTCCTTTTTTTTATTGGAATGTAGATTGACTTCTTCCAATCGGTTGGCCACTGTGTCATTCTCCAGATTTGCTGGCATAGTTTGGTTAGAACCTTTACTGATTCTTCTTCTGTTGCTTGCCATATTTCAGTGGGTTCTGACAATCCCATCAGTTCCTGTAGCTTTCCAACTTGGTAATGATTGAAGTGCGCATCTAATGTCATCTTCTAGTATTAGTGGTTCTTGAAAATTAAGAATATCTTCTAAAATATTTTGGATGTTGACATCCCTTCTGTCAGACTTCAAGTATACTCCTTCCGTCTTTATTTGATCTTCTTTGAATTAGTTACTATCTGTCCATTAGCATCCTTTAGCAAACCAATCTGGGGTTCAAACCTCCCTTCTGAGTTCAGAGATCTTTTGGAAAACTTACTTTGTTTTTCCATCTTTGATGTCTTTACAGATTAAAATATTGCCTCTCATCTGTTCTAATTGCTCTCTGAAATTCTTTGTTAAGCTTGTTCCTGAGATCTTTGCCTTTCCTAAGTTTGGCTTCTCTTGGCAGTTTCCACCATTTGTTCTGACTTCCGGTTTGCTTTGTTCTGTTTCTTTATCTTTGGCAGTCTTTTTTCACAAATTGATTTCATTCCAGGGTTCCTCTGGTTCCCTGTCCATGACGTTCAGGACTTCAGAGCAATTCCCAATGTTCTTGAAAATGGTAGGCATATGCTCAAGATCATATTGTGGAAACTGGTTGTCTGTTGTCTTCTTCTTTAGCTTAACTTGGACCTTGCACATGAGCAGTCTGTGATCTGTTCTTCAGTTAATCCCTGGCCGGGTCTTTGCTGTTATAACTGAATTCTTCCACCTCCTTGGACCGATAATAGTGTCAGTTTGGTTTCAGTGTACTCCATGTGGTGATGTCTGTGTATATAGACGTTGCTTTGGTTATTTGAAAACTATGTTAACAGTATACACACACACACACGCATACACACACATATATATATATATAAAAAATGTAAACCTACAGTAAACCTCCCAATCCAGCAAGAAGAAATGTAGCCTATTTTGAATTGAATCACTAGGAAAAGAAACACAGAAGCTTAAAATAGGGTACAGTGGGCCAACTCTTCTTGAGCCCTTTATAGTTTATAATACAGGGAGTCCTTGACTTATGACTATTCATTTAATGACCGTTCAAAGTTATGACAGCACTGAAAAAAGTGACTACCGGTCCTCACACTTATGACTATCACAGTATCCCCACGGTCACGTGATCAGAATCCAGGCACTTGGCAACTGGCATGTATTTATGACAGTTGCAGCATCCTGGGGTCACACGATCGCCATTTGCGATCTTCCCAGGGGGCTTCTGACAAAGTCAGTGGGGGAAGTTAGATTCACTTAACTGCATGATTTGCTTAACGACTGTGGTGATTCACTTAATGACTGTGGCAAAAGTTGTAAAATCGGGCATGACTCACTTAATGACCACATTGCTTAGCAATGGAAGTTCCAGTCCCAATTGTGGTTGTAAGTTGAGGACTACCTGTATTCTAGAGAGGGCATGACTATCTAAGATAACCTAAAAATGAACATTTTTTGCTGAAAGAGAATATGCTGCAACATTTTATTGTAAACCAAGTTTATCAAATGTAAGTATTTTAAAAGCCAGAATTTTAGATCTGGCCATATGCCAAGAGCAAATGGATGAGGGCAGAGAGTGGAGGCTTGTTAGTCTAGTTCTTGAAAGAAAGGAATCAGAGCGTTAAGTACTAGGAAGACAAAACAATAAATCAAAGCAACTCTTTGTTAC